GGGTCAAGTGAATCTGCGGTGACTCCGTAGGCTGTCATCTGAGGATGCGCGATCTGGGCCGTTTATTCAAAACCCCTCAGAGAGATCTGAGCCCTTCGTTGAAAATCCCATCCCCCCAAAATCCCTACCCCTCTCTCATCTCTCCCGCCCAGATCGCGCCATCACCTCCCGCCTCCTCCTCTCCAGCGCCCGAAATCGCCGCCGGAGCTCGCCGCCCCCGATCAGCGTCGCCGCCGGCTCAAGATCGCGCATTCGGTCGCCATCACCGACCTCCTCCCCCTCACCACCGCCCGAAAGCGCCGGCGCCCAAGCTCGGCCTGTGTCTCGACGTCCCCGATCAGCGTCGCCGCCGTCCCCTTGCCCTAGCCATCACCTCCCCTCCTCCTCTCCAGCGCCCGAGATCACCGCAGCTGAGCGTCGCCGCCGGGTCATCGCCGTCTACTCGTCCTCGCCATCGAGCTCACCCCTCGTCATCAGCCACGCCTCCGACGGCATTCGAGCTCAGCCCTCAGGTTCATCGCCGCCTCCGGAGATCGATCAAGCCCTCGACGTCATCCTCGCCATCACCTCCCCCCTCCTCTCCACCTCACGAAATCGCCGCAGCCTGCGCTTGCCGTCCCCGCTCAGTGTTGCCGCCGGCTCATCGCACTTCGCCGCTGTCGAGCTCGCCTCCACCGAGGTAAGGCATCAGGTCTAAATTAACGTGTTAGTTCTAACTGAAATGCATGTTAGCTAGCTCTAAATTAACGTGTTAGTTTTAACTGAAATGCATGTTAATGCTACCGGGATGCATGTTAGCTCTAATGGAGATGATGTTAGTTCTATTACGAGGCATGTTAGTTCTAGTTGGCGTTCCTGTTAGATCTAGTGGATTTCATGATGGTTCTATCTTCCCTCATGCATATTCCTTGGATCTATCTTCTTCCTTTTAATTTCAGCTCATACATTACTTGGTTTGCAGCACTCACTCTATGGCTACGAGCCGGATAATTTAGAGCTATTTTTGCCATGTATTGTTAAATTGGATATAAACTTTAAATTTGGTTTAAACTATCGTTTAGAAATTGTTTAGTGAAATTGAAAGATCAACTTGATGACGTTTTTTGAGCGATTTTGAACTTCTTATATGTGATAATTTGATAGCTTGTATAGACACTCCACCAATTCTCTCACGTGAGGCAACAATGGAAGAAGATAAAAGCCAGGACCATGATCTACTATCTACAACATGGCTTCCCCCTCAGGTGATAATATCTTATTGTTTATAGTGTACTACTAACTAATGACATATACCAAAATAGTTGTCTTTTAGCATGAGTTTTGTTTCTCTATTTTTATAGGCATCCGAGCATGAGGAGAATGGTGATGAGCTTATGGGCGTTGAAAATGGTGAAGATAATTTAAACAGCGTTGATCCATATATCGGAATGGAGTTCTCTACTCATGAGGAAGCTTATAATTTCTACAATGCATACGCCAGACTTAAGGGATTTGGTGTTCGCAAGGGTCACACAGCTTGGTCGAGAAAGAAAGATGCAATCCTATCTAGAATATTTGTATGTGACAAAGAAGGCTTTAAATCTTTAAAAGATAAAAGAGAAGATGGTCGGAATGTAATTCGAAAGTTCGATACAAGATGTGGATGCAACGCAAGGATGGTTATTGGACTTGATAGAAGCACTGAAAAATGGGTGGTCCGAAAGTTAAACAGTAAGCATAATGGTCATCCATTAACCACCCCAACTCGGGTAAAGAAGCACTACTCACATCGGACACTTCATCGAGCTCAATCGACAAAAAGGTTGATAGATACTCTTGACAATCAAGGTTTACGGCCTTCTGCCATTTGTAAGGTTGTAGACGTTGCTCATGGCAATGAACAAGGCTCTCTCACTCAACAAGAATGCCAAGCACAACTTAGACTTAAACGAAGAAACAACGTCGGCCATGAGTGCGTGAACATAGTTCGTCAATTTCAAGAGAAAAAGGTATCTGATCCTCAATTTTACTTCGCACTTGATTTAGAAAATGATGGGACGATGAGAAGTGTTTTTTGGATGGATGGTAGGTCGAGGACTTCTTACTTGCAATTTGGAGATGTTGTTTGCTTTGATGTTACATATAGAACGAACAATTTAAAATTGCCGTTTGCACCATTTACGGGCGTTAACCATCATCGACAGTCTACTCTATTTGGGTGTGCGTTACTGGCCGATGAAACGGAGGAGACGTTTATATGGTTATTTAGCCAATGGTTAAAATGTATGTCGGGTATAGCACCAGTAACAATCATCACTGATCAAGATAAAGCTATGTGTGGTGCTATTCACAAAGTTTTTCCTAAAACTCGCCATCGCTTTTGTTCTTGGCACCTTCGTAGGAATGCCTTACAAAATCTTCAATCAATGCATAATGATTATGGTGAGGATGTTGGTATAAAGTATAACAAATGGTATTGGAGTAAATCAGAAGAAAAATTTGTAAAGCGTTGGGAAGAAATGAGGGACAAATATGGTGCAGATAAAAGGAATTGGTTAGTAAATTTATACAATCATCGAGACCATTGGGTTCCAGTTTATCTTAAAGATAATTTTACTGCAGGAATGACATCTACTCAGTGGAGTGAGGGAATTAATACTTTTTTTGATCATTTTGTGAATGCAAATACCGAGTTACATGATTTTGTTAAGCAATATGATAATGATGTCGAAGCTCGCCGAGCCGCTGAACTTGAGCAAGATTTTAAGTCCACAAACTCAGTTCCTACATTGATAATTGAACATCCCATTGAAAAACAAGCTCGGGAGAATTATACGAAGAATCTGTTTACTATCTTTCAGAAAGAACTCAAGGATAGTTACTCCATGCTTCATGAAAAGTTGTCGAAGGACGGCGTAAGTGCTACCTATGCAGTTTGGAATATAGATAGCGAGGCTGAGAGCAAGAAGAGGGTAAAGCATCATGTTGTTTTCAATGCATCCAAAGATAAAAGAATTAAGTGCTCTTGTGCGAAATTTAAGATGGAAGGTATATTATGCAAACATAGCTTGCACATTTTAGTAAAGAAGCAAGTATTAGAAATTCCATCAAGATATATCATGCAACGATGGACAATTAAAGCAAGACATGTTGGTTGCGGAGTTGTTAGAAATTGCATTTCAAATAGTGAAAACCAACTCTCTATCATTAAACATTGGCCCCTTAGGAGTAGATGTAACAAGGCACTAGAAGATACATTGACTTCAAGTACACTTTATGATAAGTTTAGTGCTTTTTAGACTCGTTTTTTGAAGAAGTTAGTGCTTACAAGAAAGAAAAGGAACTTAACGACAATGGAAATGAGAGCAATGCCAGCAATAAGATTCTTCTTCATCCATACTCATCTCTGTAGAGGAAGCAACTCAAATCACTATTCGTGATCCAGATAAGCCTATTGCCACGAAGGTACGACCAGCACAAACTACTAGAATTAAGTCCGGAATGGAGATAGCACATGAAAAGGGTATAAGAAACAAAGATTTTGTGGATTTTGTAAGGGAAAATGACATTATATAACGAGTTGTCCTTTAGCTAAGGTATTATATTTAATCTTGATTTAATATTTTTTTCCTGTCAATGCATTTGTCATGTTAAAGTTATAAT